ATCACCAAAACAAGAAGATTAATTACTGTGTGTTAGTTTCAAAATGATAGTGATATCCGCTTATTTGCGTCGTCCTTGACCTTCCAGACACTCACTGTACACGTGCGATCGTAGTGCCCTTGTTTTGAATTGAAATTTAAGTCAAATTCATTCAATCAAGTTCTCAAAAGTAAATATAAGAAATTTAATACTCTATTTTAATAACAGTTAGAAGTTTTTTTTATTCTTGATCATCGCCCTGTGTGTTATATATATAAGCATATTTGATGTTTATTCAAACTTATAAAATATAAAAATAAAAAAAATTGTTTGCGGAAACGTTTCAGCTCGTATTACCATTTCTGTATTTTGCAATATATATGTAAATATTGGAGTTGTATTCCCAGACAACAAGCCAATGCACCCACTATTCGCTAGACTACCGCGACTGCCGATATCAACAAATGTATTGTTTATTTTACTATCCGGGTGTTAGCTGGCCGAGTGGCTTAACGCGTGCTATTAAGACCATAAGGTCTGTCATTGAGTCAAGTGGTGTGATTTCAATCCCAGGAATGTACGTGACCAGCAATGGTGTCGCCTGTCCAACGACCAGGTGTTTCTCTGGGACCCCCCCCCCCTTTCTTCGACTGCTGCTAAAACCCTTACGCGGAAGCCAATTATTGAAATGAAATGGAAACATATTGTTTGTGTCGAAATGGCTGCGTTTGCGTATCCCTATTTTATTTTTGTCCCGAGAGTCCATACCTTGATCGACTAACACCTTACCTTTCATCAACGTGAAATGAAATGGGGTTTAACGCCCTTCTGTTCTGCTCCGATTTTGCTATGAAGACGAGCATACGCCATACAGTGTGCCATGAGGGAAATTTGGCCCGGACATGGTCACTACGGGATAATCTTATTCGAGTCCGAACTGAACTGGGTTCTTTTACATGCACGCCTATGTGTATACGGAACCTCGGTTTTTCTTCCCACCCGAACAACTATATGGCGTCCCTTGCCAGATCCCTCAGTCTGCACCAATGACAAGAGGGGGCCACATCGGAAAATCCTGATGAACTGTCTCAGCCAACACCGGGATTGAACAGGGGACCTCCAGGTTAACGAACCAATGTCTAACTCACTGAACCACTGCGGCTCCCTCTCATCCACATGAACAACGACCCAGGTCAATATCCACGAAACAATTATACCCAATATCGCGAATTGCAACCCTAAACTGAACAATTATACCCCACTAACAAGCACATTTAGAAAGTCCAATTTACAGAAAGTGGATATCGACTGCAAGTAATACTTTCTAAATCTTTAACGTTATAAAAAGAGAAAGGTATTGGAGGAACAAAATTCATCTTCAGATCTTAAAGTTGGCCACGAAAGCACGGAAAACAAACATCTTGACGAATAAAAGTTATCGACAATTCCTAAAGGTGTTAGATTATTGGGAGTTCGTTATCCCAAATCAATCGCGATATCGATCACTACCATACCGTTTACTGGAATCAGAAGAATCTTAGACACATGTGGAAACACCCACGTCGGATTTTGTTACATAAAACACTCGATATTCGTCAATACAGTGAAACAGAGCAAATATAAGAGTTAGATAAAACCCGTAAATACATCGAGGACACCACATTAAATATCATCTAATGAGGTTTTTTTATAGCATCGTAGAGTTTCGTCTAGTAAATAACTGTGTATGTAGATAGGGTCCAAGGAGAAACCAGCCAGTTGGTACGAGAGCCCAGGGCTACCCATTCCCGCAGTTCACCTCTGGACTGCTAAGTTTAAGATCTTGAAGCGTTTTCAATTGATGTCTACTAGAATATATGTATATAGTATATGTATATATTTATCAACGATCTACACTTCAGTCATAACTTTACTTATAATAAATAAATTTGAATGAAATTTTCAATATAATTATTCATTTTTCATTATCTATTTTTGAACAATTAATTATCAAAATCTAAAGGCCCCGTCAGACCAAAGCCCGTGGTAGAGCAGAAGTAAAAAGTTTGGCGTATAATCGCAGTACAAATTTGATGAAATTACTTCAACCAGTCTTCTAGACCCACAAGACCTCAACGCTCTCAACAAGACCAACGCTATCCAAGAAGACCTTATAACGCGACCGAACGCGATCCCGATGCGATGCAACAGACAAGGAGATGTTTACTCTTGATTATCCAGACACGAAATGAAACTACAAGCTTTCTTTCGTTCGTTCGTTCCTGGAGTTTTACATCCACTTCCACCAAGGGTGATATCGTAGGCAAGAAACTACAAGCCTATTCTGGTCATTTTTATACTGTTCTGCAGAGGTCGTGATTGATCTGGACCGGTTACTCAAACATCATAATTTATTTTAACGTTTCGTTAAACTCAAACGTATCGTTACCTTGCTAACGTGTCGTTTGTTAACATTTCATCAAATTTCTGTTGTCGGATAGTCAATTCCATTAACCGTTACCTAACGGATTGATTAAAGTTAATTCAAGAGAAGACTGTCTGGTCATTGGTTGAATTTTAAATACAATGTATATGTGACCGGTGACAGCCAAATGAGTCGGAAGTCGGACATGCTCATTTAACGTTACGATCTAAAATAACTACTTGAGCTTGTCTATTATTGGAGTAATCCAGACAAATTTAAATATTTAATCAATTTAGTGTATAAATTGGGTGTTTTGTAAGTAGTGTCATTAAAATCAATGTTAAAAACAAAAGAATTTTCGTCTGCCAAATTGTTTGTGGATAACTTTTTTAATCTCCATCCAATCTTTACATTTAATATATCATTAGAAAGCTTAAGCTTATAACATGTACTTTCTGAATATATGCATAACTCAAATATTATTTTTTACCCCAAGTGACTCATTTAGCTGTCACCGGTCACATATGTATAACAACTCCATAGTATAAAAGTTATTATTAACAAGAAAATGAAGATAGTGGGACAACTGTACAGTCTGTTCACAAAACTTAATTAAAGACAAAAAAGATAACTGTAGAATTTACTACAGAGAGAGAGAGAGAGAGAGAGCATAAACGACATAAACGAGGTCATTTCGGGACTAACATTATGAAGAGCCCGGGGAAGAACGATCTAAGTCACTTTTTCAACGAACCCTAGTTAATGGTGCCAGCTGGTAGCAAATTGTATAAGCTTTCTGTGGAACAATCAATTTCAGGTAAAAACGATCGGAGTCACATCGAACCAAGGCCCTTCTGAGATGGCCTCTCGGACAAATACGCCCATTGTACCCTTTATTTGACCTTAATTTGGATGAAAAGTGGAAGTCAGTTGTTGTACTGGTAATTATAATTCATATTAAACATCATTTGAAGTTGTAATAAAGCCCACTCGTTGTTCTGTTAGCGTCAAGCATTCTCGTCCAAAAGTCTGTTTTGCCTATTATGCGAAAATACAAAAATGTGACTTAGATCGTTCTTACCCTGGACTATTCATATGGTTTAATCTTATTTCAATAATTCGCTTGCGCTTAGGGTTCTTTAGTAATGGTAGGAAACAGGAGGACCCGGAGAAAACCTACGAGGCTGGACAGACGACCCTTCACCTCGTCACGTGCAGTCAGGGAATCGAAATCACCCCAGTTGACTCAATGACAGACTTTATGATACAGCGCGGACGAGCTAACCATTTGGCCATATTCGGCCATCCAACCTCCCTCTAGCAGCAAATTTACCAGATTTTTGTTTCTGTAAAAAATTTTAACAGACAATTTCTGTTAAGTCACAGTATAGCATGTTTCTGTTGAAAAAGTCTGGTAAATCTGCTACCGGAAGATTTTCTGTTCTATAACATAATTATTTCGATAAAATATAAAACAAAATCGTCTGTGAAAAATAATTTATTTTCTGTAAATGTAATTTTTCAGTCATGAATTTACAAAAATATTAAAACAGAAATTAAGAGCAAGAAATTTTACACTTTAAATTTTGTGATTTTCTGAAGACTAGGTTTACTACTTTCTGCTTATCTTCTTCTTCTTGCAATCTGTTTTATCTTCAATACACACCTGAAACAAAACAATGACTTCCTCTGCATTAAAGATAACGATTCATTAACTCCGTGTTAACGAGTCATTAAAAGTTAACGGAGCTGTGAGCAACTGGCCGCTTGACAGGATCTGTACAGTATCTGGACTGAAGCGAGTTTGTCGTGTTGATGTCGTGATTAGGTCGTGTAGGTCTTATCAAGGTGTTGTTGGATGTGGAATGGAGCGAGTTGTTTCTGCACGTCGGGAAGAGGTCGAGTTGATGCATTTTCAATAAGACCTTTTGTCGATTCACCAAAACCTGATTCCGACTTTTGCGATCCAAGAAGACCTTCTCCAGCTTTAAGAGTCGCGTTAGCTCGTGCTTTGGAGTGATAGGAGCTTTAGAGGTCGAACTGGTGCCCTTTAAACAAGACCTGCTCCCAATTCACCAACACCTGACGGCGACCTTCGCGATCCAAGATAACCTTCTCTAGCTTTACAACGCGACTCAAAATATTTGAGTCGCGTTAGGTCGCGCTTTGGTGTGATGAGGGCTTTACATAATACATCTTTAAGGTGGTTATACACGTGTAATAGAGTGTTCATGTTAGGTCAATGGAATTTAATCAATAAAACAAATTTCGCAATATCGTAATTCAAGAGGAAAAAAATAAAATGTCGTAACAGGTTAATAAGATCAATACACGTAAAACATCTAAAAACAATGATTGTATGATTATTTATTGCACGATGTTTGTTCATTAGTGGTAGTGTGTGACTGATCACAGGGTATTCTTGGGGTTTTTTTCTGCGGTTCGTGATAGTTTTGATTCTATGATACACGTGGCTGCCGAGGGTCAGGTCAAAATATTAAGGCCACCTGCAGATTTCGTCAAGGTCACGAGATTGTGGGTGTTAGGTTTAAGAATTTGGGGGGAGAGGTTAAGTCTCCACATAAGCACTGACCTAGGATGATGAAACATTAGTTCGTGATATTTCCTAGTTTTATTAAAATACATACAATACATTAGATTTATATACAAAGGCGATTTCACTGTTTATTGGTGTTGGTGGCGCTGATGGTCTTCCTTGGGTGGTGCTTCTGGTATTCTGGTATTATTGTTTCTGAAGAGAAAAGAAAATAAATTTGAGGCTCTCGGGAGAGAGCCACATTAGTGTGTTTCCTACAACGGATTGGATTTTCTAAAAAAATCGTGTTTGTTCCACATCACCGGGTTACGGCTAGGGATTCTTATATCTAATTGATTTTAATTACTAACGGTTAGGCATAGGATTTGATATATGGTTTGTTTTGGGTCAGGGTGGAGACTGGTCTTATTTAATCTAATTTACTGTGCACTAGGATGTCGTTCAGATTTTTATTTTTAGAATATGCAATTATAAGTTTCTGTGTGAATATTTTCGGGTGATTTTCTTGGAGATCAGTATAGTGTTTTCTGATGATTTTGGACGCACTTGCTGCTGTTGCGCTAAATGGAACTACAAAAGGAGCTATTGCGCTAGCCGTATGAATATTCAAACCTAGGGGGGCTGTTGTTTTCAATTTGTCAATCCAGAATTTTTCTCTTGTTAGCCTAAACGTTTTAATTTCTTCCGAAGTTTCAAAGTCGCTCTTGGTCTTTTTTATTGGCGTGACAATGAGATCTGAAATGTCATGATTTGGTTGGTTGAAATGAATTGAGACAGGTTTGTCTTTTTTGGTGACTATGTCAGACCGGTGACCGTTAATTCTTTCCCTAAGTGCATTTTGAGTCTCCCCTACGTATTGCTTGTCACATTTTCTGCATGAGATTAGATAAATTATGTTTGAACTACTGCATGAAAGTTGGTCTAATATTGGGAATTTTGTGCCAGATGTTTTGTTATGGAAATGGTCGGATATGTTTAAGATTTTGCATGTTTGACATCTTGGATGGCCACAAATTTTGGTTTTATGTGCTGATTGTATATTATTTGTTTCAGCTAGAGTGTTGTTTTTTATACGTCGTAGATAGCGTTTGGAGTATCCCCTTTCCCGTAGTTTGCTAAATACCAATGTACATGCTGACTCAAAGTCGGTCTTCTGAGTACATATCCTATGAAAACGGAGAATCTGAGATTTTATGATGCCAGAGAATGTATGTTTTGGGTGAAAGGAGCTTTTGAACAATAATTGATGTGTGTCGGTTTCTTTGAAAAATACTTTAGTTTCCAATTGGCCTGTGATTTTGGTGTTGTTACTTTTAAAAACGGTAGTATCAAGGAAATCTATGCTGTTATGGCTTACATTTGCGGTTAATTTGACAGATGGATGATGATTGTTCAGGATGTTGAAAAACGTCCAAAATTCGTCTAGTGTGTAGGTCCAGACTATGAAAACGTCATCTAAAAACCGCCCATAGAAATCTGGTTTTAATGGACAGAGTGGCAGAACTTCCCTTTCCCACTCCGCCATGAAGAGATTTGCATAACTCGGGGCAAATCGTTTTCCCATCGCAGTTCCGGAAGACTGAAGGTATACTTGGTCGTTAAAAGCGAAGTCATTCCTCCTCAGACAAATGTTGAGTAGTTTGAGGATTTCTTCGTCCGGCCTGGATGCTTGCGGGTTCCTAAGAAATGCTTTCCTAACTGCTTCAATACCTATGTTATTATCAATGTTCGTGTACATGCTTTGTACGTCGATGGATATTAAAACGGTGTGTTCGGGGACTCTTAACTGTTTGATTTTCTGAATGAAATCGTTAGTGTCTTTAAGGTAGGATGGGTGTTGGCATGCTAGGGGTAATAAGAAATGGTCTATATATTGTGATACGTTGTATGATTCGCTGCCACAGTCTGATATTATTGGGCGTCCCTTGGGTATTTTATTAGGTATAAACCATTCTGTTTCTGGATTTTTATGTATTTTTGGTAGGGTATAGAGATGTCTTTGCCGGCAGTCAGATTTAGCAGATAGATAATCATATTGTTTTGCTGTTATGTATTCCTTATCCTGCAATTCATATAAGATGTTGTTTATTAAATTTGCGGTGTCCTTAAAGATTGGTTGGTCTAATTTAGTGTAATGTATAGGATTACTTAATTGTTTTTCTGCCTCTGAGATATAGTCAGCACGATTCATTATGACACAACACGAGCCTTTGTCGCTTTTCTTAATTATTATGTTTTTGTCCTTTTTAAGGGTGTTTAATGCCGTTTTAGTTGCTCGGTTGAGATTTGGTTTTTGTGACTGTGGTTGAATGGATGATATTTCTATATTCATTTCGTCGAAAGTTTTTAGGATGGCTGGTGATAATGACTTTTTAGGTGGTTTCCATGTGGATTTTACTGTGAATAATTTTTTACCTCTGCCGGGTTTGTTCCTAAAAAAATAAGTCAACGAAAGTGTTCTTTGGAAGCGATCGGTTGCCTGGGTGATGGGGTCTATGGATGTTATTGTGGGGGTTGGGATGAATTTAAGGCCTTTATCAAGAATGTTCATTTCTAGGGGGTTGAGAAGTCTGTCGCTCAAATTGACAACTGTCTGTCCTAAAGACGGCTTCTCATTCCTTTTCCCTAATCCTAGTTTAAATTCCTCATCCAGCAGTTGATGATCTCTCTGGCCGTGTCTGGGCTCCAGTGGATTGCGTCGTTACCTTTCAGTTCTATTTTGCCCTTGAAGGTTGGTAATGTGGTGGCGTTTGGTGAAGGTGCAGTGGAGATCAGTTGGTTGTAGCTGGTGATGTTTTGGTAGGCGATCGGATTTTCTTGTCGGAGTCGGGAAGAAGTGGGGATCTGTGTGGCGAAGAGCTTGGTTGTTGGGAAAGCTGCTCTGGTCACCTTGAGTAGATCTAGCATCTGCTCGTGTATCCTTGGTCCACTTTCCTCCCTGTTCGTGATAGTTTTGATTCTATGATACACGTGGCTGCCGAGGGTCAGGTCAAAATATTAAGGCCACCTGCAGATTTCGTCAAGGTCACGAGATTGTGGGTGTTAGGGTTAGGGTAAGGTCTAGGATTAAAGTTAGCGCTAGCCCTGATTACATCTCGTGACCATGACATGTTTTATGCTGGAGCAAGACAGAAGAAGCCCCGATTGTTTGAATTTGATGGAGATAATATGCGGAAACGCCGCTTTCCGGGCAAAATTGCACGCTGCACTAGCCGGTTAGTGAAGCAGGAGGGAAGGCATGACAAGCGCAGCACCTAATCGTTCGGGTGGGCCCAAAAAACGTCGTCCCGTCTACACTTTGGCTTGCACGTCAAAGAAATCTTGACAGGTGGAATCTAATTGCTGTTCCGGCAAAATTAGTGCAGTCGGGGCAGAAAAGCAGGAAGTTAAAGCCCGGTTCATCCGTTCCTTCTTTCTCTCGATGACTTCCCTGTAGGCGTTGTCGTGAGTCCGGGTGTATCAAGTTTATTCTAAGACCCAATGTGTGAAAGTTTTGTCTAATAATTTCCTACAACAATAATAGACTAAATTGAATTGAATCTTCAGCGCCAATTACAAATCTCAGCACAAATGAATGTAGGCGTTGTCGTGAGTCGAGATTTATCAATTTGATCACAAAATCCAATTGGCGAACTCTTTGTTTTATTAAAGATTTGTAGCAATGACGATATGGATCTTGAACGGCAAATAAACGGGCATTAAAATCGCAACTAATGGACGGATATTAATTGTTTTCCATCTTTTAATGTCATTCTTCACAAAATATTTTCATATCGTTAATTGATGAACCAAAGTTCAAGGTGTCCATTCATAAACCCCGGAACAAAGAATTATCGGAAACAATTGATACTTCTGCATCTAGTTAAACAATTTCGCCATTTATTAGGATGTTATTCTGTGAATTAGATAAAATAAAATATAAATAGCTGTTATCATTAGTGTCATTGTTAATATTTGTGATGTTTCGATTTGTTTTAATTGATTGTCAGCTTTCTCTCTGTTCTCATTATAAAGACACTGTGTAAATACACTTAATGTCTACAGTGTTAAAATGTTTTTAATTGTCCCTGATTGTTCAAAGATGAAAGAAATTTGTATTTAAGCATGTAATTTGACTTTCAGGAGTGAATGGCCCCCACATACCAAGTTCGCAATGGGGGGATTCAAATGTTGTGCAAATTATTATTATACATTTATGCACACCACAAGTTTTGGGGAACCGCGGTGGCTTAGTGAGTAAGACGCTGGCTAGCTAACCCCGTTTGTCTTGGGTTTGCCAACGGGAGTCGCGGTGGCTCAGTGAGTAGGCCACTGGTATTCACCGAGAAAGTGCCTCTGGTTTTATCCGGCACGGCTTCCTCTTGTCTGTGGTGCAGGACAGGGAGCCCAACAAGGACATTGTTTAATCGTTCTGATGGGACAAAAACCTGAGGTTTCGGGTACACATTGGCGTGCACGTAAAAAGTAACTTGGCAGATGGAATTCGATTAAGAGTAGGTCGTGGCGTCTGTCGGAGCAGAACAATAGGATGTTAACAATATTTCATTGATCACGCTTCATTTATCTCTTGTCTCCATGGCTCAGTGAGTAAGGCGTTGGCTCGCTAACCTGGAGGTCCCGTGTTGGATCCTTGAGTTTCCCGAGAAAGTTCATCAGGATTTTCCGGCTTGGTCACCCCTTGTCAGTGATGCAGTCGTTCCGATGGGCAAAAAACACGTAAAAGATCCGTTGACAGTTATAATTAGATATATAAGAGTAGACTGTAGCGCCGCTGTCCGGACAAAATTTCCTTCACTGTAGACTGTATGGCGTATACCTGTATTCTACTACTATAAGTCTATATAACTGACAGATCTTGTCATCCTGAGCTGTCATATTATCATATACATCTGTCATACTCATCCTTATATCTAGCACATCTCTAGTGTACTTACTGGACACTAATTAGCTACAGAAAAAAAACTTAAGAAACATTAAAGGGAATTCTGCGTGAAAGATTAATACATAGTCTCAATCAGAGCCACATGGTACAAGACGGGTGACCTGGAAAGAAAAGCCCAGGTGCCGTGTATACTATTGTCAGCACGTAAATATCCAAAGAAAGCTTGAAATCCAAATTAGAATAGGATTAGATCATATGGTCTGACATTGAGTCACGTGGTAAGTAGGATCGCCTGTCTAATCTCGGTTTCCTCGTACTGCTAAAGACTTCTACGCATAAGCGCATTTTAAAAATTAAATCGAACCATATATTAGTCCCGAAAAGACCTAGGTTTTGTCCAGTGACAAAAATTATGAACTAAAGAACACGTGTTAGAGAACTTGACAACCCAAACCCTTACACATAAGTGCACTTTAATAAATATATTTGTTTAATTCATAGAAATCCTCTTTAATATTCCCAAAAGACGCCATTTTGTTAGTCAGCCATTAACCTAATTTAATCAATCAGAAGGTTTCTTTTTATTTGGCGCGTGGAAGTGATTAATTAACATGAATGCTTGTCAATCATCCGCCATTAACAAGATCACGTGCACCTGGCACCGTGATCATCTTTGAAATATATGATATATTTTATACTCAAAAAACCCATTAGCCCATACAGACAGTTGACAAGCAATCTAGACAAAAAAAAATCATGGAACCTCCAATTATTTTCCTTGAGAAAATACCATATGCCAATTTTCACGGGTGCTTCCAAATATGTCGTAGACATATATAAGAGAAAGGTTATGATATATTTTTTGGTGTTAAACTTTCTTGAGAAGATGAATGAAATTAACGAGACGGCATTTAAAAATAAACAAAATTGATTGAGAAGTTTTTAACCTCACATCCGTAATAGTAACTCGTTAGTAAGACTTATTTATTTTTTTTGAGAATACTTGTTGTTTTTTTGTGTGTTTTAAAGATGCATTACAAAAATACAAACCTTCATATTTAAACCTATATGGTTTCGACACCGAGTTTGTATATGATAAGGAGTAGCATAGTCTGCCTAACCTTTTGGGTTTACGTCGGGACCATCGGCTTTCCTCCCACTAAAGACCCCTTCCCACACAAGAGAATAAATGGAATATAGATAAACCAAGTATAAGTCCTGAAACGACTTAGAGTTGGATGATGGACTCGACCCCCATTCCTTCCTCTGTTGTATATTTAACAAAACAATGTTTGCAATGTGTGAGTGGATATTAAATAACACGAGAAAAGAAACAAGTCTATCCAATCATTAATAAAAGATTAGTCGCTACATTATTCTTCTTGTCACATTTACATTTTCCTATCATTCAGTGACGCCACTATCTTCTTCGTGACGCACAGATTGTCATCAATACCCGGCGGCCATAAACGGTTTTGTAAATGAACCAACACGTAATTTATAACAATGAATATAGATATAGACTGACCGTGCTCGTGCTATAAGTCTGGACACTAATCAGAATTACATTATTAAATATGTATTATGGAAGAGATAAATCTTCTTATTTGCAAGGTCTCTCTTTGGGCATTAAATGTTATATAAATTCTTAATTGGACATTTATTAACTTGCCAAGTCCATAATCAACTAACGATGCCATTGTATGCTAGAGATTTTCAACGGATTTAAACACGATAACGGGTTAATGATTTAATTAAAAAATGAACAATCGAGACTTTGTTTACTATATTGACAACGGTAGCGATGACAACCGAGACTCCGCTATTCTCCAAACAGCCCTAACGTTGCTCAGAATGAAGTAATTTGACTGACATTTTCAAAATACTTCCTTTTTATTATCTATTTTTAGTTATTATAGCGAGAACTGACAGCTCTTTATCTAAATCTTACATAATGTATTTTTAACACCAAGTGTGAACATTCTAGCTCAATTAGAATGAGAGTTATTGTGTTCCAAAGTCTCGGAAAATCAAATTGCTTATCGCTCTGCTTACCCTGACCAAAAAATGCTCA